GACTAGTAGTGGATGATAATGGTAGACATATGATCAATCTATATCAGTCTACAGTACATGAAAAGCAACAAAAGATATTATTATGAAATGAAAATGAATATTACAAAAAAAGATCAAAATTTTACTAGGACTTTTAATTCATTAGACTATAGTTTGTAGAGCTTAATGAGTTGATCACGATGGCATAATGTGTTCTTTCCCATTGAATGCCTTTGAGGAATAAGGTCGGTCTCAAATTCAGAGAAATGAGGATAATCTGTTATTTATGAAATTTTGATTTTTATCTTAGTTTAGTTCTAAGCATTGAAAGCTTTAACACTGGATACGTCTTAATATTGACTATACACATCTATATAATCAAAATAAATAGAACTCCTAACAATGTCTATACTTTGAATGTTTCAATACCATTAATATTATCGATGTATGGAATTGAATGATTTATTCAAAATTCATCTAATTTCTTTTGTGTGTTCATCAATTTAGGACATTAATAAAAAATACATGTTGATCATGTTTCAATCACTTCTCTTGTCTATTGTAGGTTTTTACACAAACATGTGGGAAAATAACTATATAGAATATCGAAACTATTGTAAATGAGATATCTGAAAACGCTTTAATTACTATGTCTTTAAAGTAGTTTTCCCAGAGAATCTCGATCAGACTTAAAAAAATAGTTCAATTTCGTATATCGACAATATTAACGGAATTGAAATATTTAAAGTACAGACATTGTTAGGAGTTCTATTTATGTTGATTATGTAGATGTGTACATGCAATATTAAGATGCACTCAGTGTTATAGTTTTCAATGCTTAGAAGTATTTTAATATAAAACTTGAAATTTTCTAAATAACAGGTTACACTTATTTTTTTGAAGTTGAGATCGATCTTACTCCTCAAAAACATTCAATGGAAAAGTACACATTATGTTATCGTGATCAACTCATTGAGCTCTACACAAAGTAGTATAAAGCCGATTGAAAGCGGAGTGCCATCTACTGTTAACACATGTCATATAACCGATTTCTTCTTTTGTCGTTGAAATTTTGAAAGTTAGCAGAATTAGTGAAAGCAGTTTGCACTTTTCGACCGTAAAAATTGATTAGTGCTTTTGTTAGGATCTTTTATAGATTTTGTTTCTGAATCTCAAATGTATAGTAACTGTTCGATTTTCCGCCATGTGAGGTTAAACAATCCATCTAAAAAACCAATTGGCGTACTGTTGAATGAGAGCTAATAAATGGGAAATAAACCCTTTAAAAAAATCATCTTGCTTTTTGTTTATCAAAAAGCTTTAAAAAACTCTAAAGTTTTATTAACATGCAAAAATGTCACGCAAGATTTTTCATTTTGTTTGACATCTAATTCTCGTCAAGTATGGCAGTTTGAGATGAATCTTTAAAAGCATTGTTATCGACTCATTACGATTAGTCATCAATGAAAATATTAGCGTTATAGAAAACATATGATGCTTGAGAAAAAGAAAAAGTATTGTCAATATCCTATTTTTAAAAAAATCTCTTCAATAACCCTTAAATAACCGATTTCTAATCGATTATAATCATACGATTTTAATATAAACAACTTAAGCAGAAATAATCACAAAAAATCGTCCCTAGATCGATTGTTTCCATTAATTACGATTGTAATCGATTTTTCACTGAATTACAAATTGATTAAAAATCGATTATGTCGTGATTATTGAAGAAAATTATTTTTACATAGGATGTCACGCAAAATTATAACCTGCACAATACTTTGCATTTAAGGTCAAAATAAATATATCATACATTACTTCAATTTTTATCTTAAGTGCTATCAAAATTACTATGAACTGGTTCTAAATCGCGTCCTATGGAATTCATTTTGTATCGATGACGTCATATCATGGATATATATATCTTAAAGTACATTGTTATTTTTTTGTATTTAAGATATCTCAAATTTTAAGTCTCAATCGTATATCATGACAAGTAAATAAAGTTCTTTCTACCTAAAATTTCAAGTATTTGACCCGAATTTTGCAAAAGAATTTCATATTTCTGCAGTTATTTGACATATATGCAATCATTTTCATGTATTTTGAACGATTGTTACATATCTCAACTATACTAATAGTGATAGTTTGAAAAAAATTCTTCATTTTCACATCTCATATAGTACAATAAAACACACTACATATCAGTTTTGAAATCGAAAAAATTTTTTTTTTCGTTCGTTTTGTATTCGAAATGGTACAATAATGTTGCAATTTATTCATATACATAAGATGATAGATAAAATGAAAATACATATAAAAAGATTTAATATATGTAGAACTATTCTATTAGTTTAACATTCAATATTTAAATCATTTTTATTGTTGTAAAATTAGAATAATCAGTAAAAATAAATGATCCCGAAAAAACAGGAAATAATAAGTTCCGAGAGTTATAATTTAAACAACTATGTAAAGAGAAAGAACATAATAATGTGGACTGAAGAATGAGAATAAATAGATATAATATGACCCATATTTTCGAATATATCATATCGTATGTAACGGTGTAGTAAAAGAAAAGTATTTTCAAGATGATAAAATAACGAATTTACTATTATTTCATGCTACTAATTTGAGAACATAAATTTATTTTAATGTAATTTTTACTTTCCAAATAAGGACTATATATATTTAATAATATACATCAAAAGAAAGTCTAGATAATTGTAAAACATCGAGACTTTTTAAAGGTCATAATGTCTCATATGGGGCGGTCCTCAAACGTGTCAATTATCAGTTGAAGTCATGTTTTTTTTCCATAAGTAGGATTCGATAACACTAGTTAAAATTTGGTAGGGTTGATCATCATATGTTCTTCTTTCTCGAATTTTATTATTGTTTTACTGATTTTTTTTGTTTTTACCTTCAACAAGATATTTATGAAAAAGTCGAATAAAGAAATTTCGATCTGAAATTTTATCTATGGATACATCTCATAATCATTAGAATACTCTAAAATATATCAGCCGAAATGGTTATGTTCTTCTGGTAATATTGCATATTCAAGCAATAATCATGTGTCACAAGAGAAAATCAGAACATCGGCAAAATTTTAGAATGAAATTCCTTAATTTTACTTCATCCTAAATATCTTGTCTGAAATAAAACATAAAAATTGACTAAAGTGGTAATAACAGAGAAAGGAAAATTCTGCATGAGGATCAGCCTTTCTTGTCTTCTCTTTGTTTCATTGAGTCCTATTTATGGAAAAAAAAATGTCAACTCGATCGACGGTTTATACTTGAGAACGTGACTTCATCAGATATTGTCTGTTCCATGTGAATAGATGTTCTTTATTTTTTCTGTTACATTAAACCGTAACAGATAATATTGGTTGAAATAAGTATGTAATGAAAGATTATAGAACTATGACAAAAAACATTTTATTCTTGATTTCAAGCTTTCAACAATTTACAATTGTTATCATCAGGAAATTATTAGAACGGAACAAAGTTAAGCTATATATATATATATATACAAAACGAGGCATAGAACAGAAAAGAACATAGGGAAAAAAATATTACAATATCAATTTATACATCAAAGCTAACAAAATTACAACTTCAGTATACTTTAAATTACTTCGAGTTAATTTAAAGTATACTGAAGTTGTAATTTTGTTAGCTTTGATGTATAAATTGATATTGTAATATTTTTTTTCCTATGTTATATTCTATGCTTTGTACTGTATACATATACATATATATATATATAGCTTAATTTTGTTCTTTTCTAATGATTTCCTGATGATGACAATTGTAAATTGTTGAAAGCTTGAAATCAAAAATAAAATGTTTTTTGTCACAGTTTTATTCTCTTTCATTACATAGTTATTTCAACCTGTGCTTTCAACCAATTATATTGATGAAGTTGCTCAATTTAAATATAAAACATAAATATTTTTCCATCAATCTTTTATTATAGAAAATTATTGATGTTATGAATGAGAATCATTTACAGTCATGTCAAAATAGACATTTCTTGACATAATAAATTCTTCTGGCCTTTTTTTGGACTCTATTCTATTACATTTATAATTAGTTCTTTCTTCTGTCACCTCTTGTAGCTGATGTTCCTTCGAGAGCGATGTTTCTTCAACTAAAAAATTAAAAAAATGGAGAAAGAAATGAAGTTAAAAGACAATGAAAAATAACAGTTACTTCCGATCACAATATACAATTGTTTTTCGAACACATCATAGTCATGATTAGTTAGGTATTTAAGTAGGATCTATGTAGAATTTAAATACTCATAGTCTAGTCATTGATGGTTAGTCACTTTGTGGATATCTGACAAATCTAACACTCTTCTCTGTTTCTTTTGTTTTCATACTTTGCATCATGAAATGTCTGAAAAAAATACACAACGAATCATTTAAATGTGTTAAAAATCCTACATTATTTTTCTCTTCAGAATGTATATACGTAGTAAACTAAAACTGTTTTATTTTGTGTCAAAAACAATTCTCTAAAGTTTTTGATAGGTTCGTATTTTTGTTTTTGCAAATGTTAATTAATACATGTCTGTTATATGTTTATTACTCGAGAGATTAAAAAATTGATACTATCAATTTAGCTTCTGTTTTATCTTTCTTATTCAAGATTACTACCGATATTTTATTCAAGTGTATATAATTATTCGTTTTTTGGTTCTATCAATGTCCTACATTCAAGTTTCTGTTCATTGTTTTTCCATATGTATGGATAGAATGACAAGTGATCTAAAAGGAAAGAAAAAAAAAGAGAGGCACATTATGTGTTTGCTTATTTAAGTCACATAAATATATGTTTTAGATTCCTTTTTGTGTAATCTTTTGACTCAGAGAGCAACGCGTTCATTTATGGTTTTCAACAAGAGTTGTTTTTACATAAACAAACATATATATTATAGAATAATATTTCGTCAAACTTTTTTTCCTCCCTCTCTTTTTATTGTAGATAAAACACTTCACTAAAATGCCCACGTATCTTGCTCTAGTACTGTTTGTTTTAATTCTTGTATTACAGGTAATGATAAAGAATTATATTCATTGATTATTTATATTCTAATCTTAGCAAACAATACATGTGAAATCGTTTGTTTCACCTCTTCGACGTGATAATCATGAAATTCGTCGATTACATGCTATTCGACCTCTACGAGCTCCACTTATGGGTCGATCATTATCACCAGTTATATCAATAAATGCTGATGATGATAATTTTATAAATGATATATCAAATAATACCAAGTTTATTGACGATGAATTAGTTTTCCTCGCTAAACGACGACAGGGTGGGGCACCACTATATGGTCGACGATGGATACGTAATCGACGACGAGGACCACTTTATGGCTAAATAATAAATATATACATATATTTGAATGTTCATGATAAAAATAAAAAGACGAATATAATTATTTATATCCAATTTTTATTCGTCGACATAAAAAAAGTTATGTTTATATAATAAAATAATATGAAAACAGAATATGTTTAGAGTTTTGCTTGACTACTTAGATGAAAACAAAAATCGAACGAGTGGAAATATAATAATATAAAGTTTAATATTCTCAATGCTGTTCGAAGTACTTAATTTTAGAAGAGAAAATTCTTTTCAAATTTCTGAACGAAAATAAATAATAACTGATGATATATATATATATTTCTGAACAATAGTTCAATATTACTTTAATAACATATGAATAAGTCAAGTATTAATCAAGATATTAAACTGTAAAATTATGTTTGTCGGTGATATAAATTTCATAGATTTGATAGACTTTTACATGGAGTTTTTTCTGTCTATGATTAATTATTTTGTATGACCTTGCATATACTCAATAGAGAAATTGATCAAAAGAAATCAATCTTTATTTTCAAAAGTTTTATGTTACCTTTGTCTCATGAAAATATCATTTTCTGATGAGTATCATGATGCAATCATAAACATGATTTTGGATATATTAAATATTGTGAAAAAAAAACATATTCTTTTAGTACGGTTAAATAAATACATTACAAATAAATCTTTATATGAATCAGTATTATAAGTTTACTTATGTAAAGAATTTTAAACTTGATGAATTGTTTACAAGTGTTATATACACTTGGAATGTTTATTTTTCTACAAAGTATAACGGCAAAGTGGTTATTTTATGTAAATATTTAATTACATATGGGATTCTTTCAATACATTTAAATGATTCTTTATATAGGTTATGAACTGATTAATTTGTATAAAGAAGAAGAATCATATATCCCTAAAGATTGGCTCATCGAATACATTCAAACAAAATGTTAAATAAAATTATTTTAGAAACATGTATGTGTCTTTCACAAGATATATTAATTATTGTTTTTGTTGTTATTGTTTACATTGTGAATACGTCCACTTGATTGATGTATATATCAACAACTAGATTTATTATACACTGCGACTATATAAATAGTAATAACAACAGTTGCAATGTAGATGTATGATTTAAGAAACACTGTAGATTCACTAAATAAACATGCAAAACCGTCATAGATCACATAAGAAAGAGCACAAAGTAGTTCAACAAATCAATGTAGGTCTATACTAGTTAATAACCAACATACAAATAAGTGATTGAATGAGAAAACACAATATGCATATATCATTCGATATGCACTCATGTCAACAATAAAAGCTTGTAAACAACATGACATTATCGGCAACCTTTTTTTGACGAATAATAGTATATATCAATTAATTAAAAGAAAAAATACAGTTACTAAGGAAGAATATTCTTGCCTTTCAGCTACCGTGCAGCAGCAGCAGCAGATTCTATAGCTCGATATTTTCCCTACAGTCAGCCTGACTCATAGTACTTGCGTTCAATTGCATAAGCTTCTCATACACACTAACTAATTACATACTACTAGTCACAAGAGTAGGTGTATGTCCACGACGTAGTCAGCATGCTATCAGACAGGTGATAGTCCGAGACAAACAGTCGTTAGTAACTTGTCCACGATCATTCCATGGTTGACAATATCAAGATTTGAAACACAGTATTTTTTTGGACACGTGTCGAACAATGTAGCCATTCAACCATGGTGGCCTGCAGTTTCGAAACATACATCTACAGTAGACTAAATCAGTTTGTTTAAACGAAAAGTTTTACAAGCTAAAATAAGCTAGATGTGTCCAAAAGGAATTAGAACAATAAGTGGAACGAGAGGAATTTGAATATTATTGACAATAGTATCTTCATAAATATATTTACAATTGACCTGTGAATCAATTGATTATTATGTTCGTTCGACATTATGTGATAGGAACTTTCATCTATACGTTTTTAGTTTAAAGGGAATCTACTTATATCGAATTACTTAAATCTCATAGAGACGACATTAGTATGATGAGCATTCTTTTTTTTTTTGTTTGATCCAATATCCTCAAACAGATGTCTATTTTAATAATATTTGCTATAATGCAAACATTTCCAGGATTAAAAAAAGAGCAATGTTTACGGAAGTATTCAAATGTCGATATTCACGAAATACTATAATTATAAATTGCTAAATTTGTTATATCATTGAAATAAACATTAAAAGCATGAATATGAAATCAACCAATGTAGTTTAATTAAATATTGAACAAAATATATCATTAACTTCTTTTTTTCAACTTATACTCTTCAGTTGATATTTTTTGTAAAAACAAATGACCTCGTTTACTATTTAAATGATTAAAACTACAGTTTAATTTATGAACTGGCATAAACGTATATATGTATCGGATACTTTATAAATTATATTTTTTGCATTCATAAGTGTATTTTTTCTATAGAAAGAAACGACATACCGAATATTTACTAATGTTTTTTTTTTGACAGATGTTAACATATTTATATGAGAAAACAGAACAGAATGACATATAGACTGATTAATAAGAAGGACGATAAAGACTATTTTAAGTATGAAAAACAAACGTGTTAATCATTATAATCTAACGCTTCGTTAGATTCTACGTAATAATAAAACAGTATAACTACAATATGAAGAAAAGTATAAAATATTTCTCATTGAAAAGCTTCGAATTCAGACTTTGATAAGAGATTGAATGAATAATCTAATACAATATTTAATAATTCCCAAAGTGAATGTGTTCGGAATCACATGAAAAATAATTAAATATGAAAATGTTCGCAATATAGACTCTTATTCCCATAAAGGACAAAGCTATATATATGTATATACGTTAGTGAGTAAGATGAGGGATTTAGAAATATTTAAGAGATACATGAATAAAAATTCTATAAAGCAAGTAGATGAAAAAGCATTGATAAATAACTATTATGTATAACATTAAGAAAAACTTTCAGCAATATTCCTATGAAGTTTAAAGATGAAACACAATGGAGTTATTATTATTATAATAAAAAAAATATGTTCGAAATATCTCTTTTGATTTGTGATTTTTACAACATACTTGTCATTCCTATTATTTAAATCAAATTCTAAACGTAATGTAGAACGATTCATACAAAGAGACGGTGTCATGACTTGCCTAACCCACAGTGCAGTGGTTAGCAAGGAAAAAAGCATTTGCAGAAAAATGTTTCAAGTAACAAGTAGCTCATCAAGAATTTTACTCTTAATATTTCTGTAGTAATTCAACCACATTTTTACGTATTTAAGTAATTTTTTTAAATAAAAGACTTGTCGTTCAATTCTCTAGAAGAACACTTATTTTCATTTGCCTAAATGTTTAAAATAATTATTTATTACATGAAACAAATGATTGGCGTTATTTTCACAAATTTCAAAAATAATTTCACGTTCAGAAAATAAAATAAGAAGTTGATTGAAAATCATGTAATCAAACGCACTGTATTTCGTGGTATTCAGAGAAGTTATGAGCATTAGGAAGAGATTTTTAATGATGAATATACAAAATTATTCGGAATTATAATAGACAGGAAAAATCCAGAAAGTATTAATTAAAGACAAGATGTTCTTTAGACAATTAAAAAATTTTCATAGAAAAAGGATAAGAAATGCATCTCACTAATTGAAATGACAATGTCACAAACAACTAATCAATATACGTCAACGTCGAGAATACCTAACAAATTCCACAAACGAACTCAGAAGTTCCAGATTACAATAGAAAAATTACAAGCAACGTTCATCGTGACTTGGTTCACTTGACCGTAGACTGTGACGGGATAGATATATGCATATAGGTACATTTAGATATAAACGTAAATTAAAAATA